GGACATCCTCGACCCGTGGCTTCGAAGGTGGAACATCGCCGTCAACCATGAGAAGTCAGGCCAAACGACGTTTACAATGAGGAGAGGCGACTGTCCTGGAATCAGTCTCGGAGGCACCCCAATTCCAGCCAGCCCTACACCCAAATATCTGGGTATGACCCTGGATAGAAGGCTCACCTGGAAAACTCACTTGCAGCGCAAACGGACGCAAATCCGGATCAAGCTACGTCAGCTCAACTGGCTCATTGGAAGGAGGTCCAGACTGAAGCAAAGAGTCAAGCTCCTTATATATAAGGCCATTGTAAAGCCAGTCTGGACCTATGGTATCCAGCTATGGGGGACGGCGTGTCTAAGCAACCGAAGGATCATCCAGATCGCCCAAAACAAGGCCCTAAGAACTTTAACTGGAGCTCATCCGTTCCACGACAATGCGACAATCCACGCCCAACTGAGAGTCCCATATGTGAGCGAAGAAGTTCAGCGATTCGCCAATAGGTACGTGGAAAGGCTGGACCGACATCCTAACCCTGAGGCCATCAATCTTTTGGACAACAGCTACACCACAAGGAGGCTGAAACGGACCCACCCATTGGACCTCTGCCACTCGGGCGAAATAACTTGAATTCTATCGCTAAGGTTTACTGTTAAAATTAGTTTCCTAGGATAAGCAAACATTGTACTACTCAATATTTCATTAAGTTAAGGTCCCATTATAAAATTTAATTATTGTCCATATCTCCGGACAGATTTTAAATGTAACTATTGATTGATTGATAATAAAAAAAAAAAAAAAAAAAAAACGTTCATTTCGTGCCTCTTTCGATTGTGACTTCCAATTTTCACTCAAATCTGTTCTGCCGTTCTTAATTTATAAGTGGTGTAACATAACACGAATTTTTTATATATATATAGATAAGGGGTCGGCCACCCAATACATTGATTTGATTTTAACGCATTAGTGTTAGTAACGAATAGCAGAAAGTAGGCTGTGAGCATGACGTTTCACATATTTAGAGCTCGGTGGCCGAGCTCTATGTGGCCGAGCTCGGGCGGTGAAATTTCCTATGCCCTCGGGATAGGGCCGTGCCGACCACTGATATAGATATAAAAAAAAATATATGTATATATATATGAATGATTTAGCTGCTGCTTCTCTGGATCTCCTCCTTCACCCATGGGAAGCCAAGCCACTCGTGGATTTTCTGGATGTCGTGGTAGACGTGGGCCCTGTGCCGATACGGAGGACTCTATTTTCAAATGTCTGGATTGTCCGAATATTAGTCTTGCTGGCCGTGCCCCAAAGTTGGATCCCGTATGTCCAAATTGGCGGAATAAGATTAGGATTTTCGAAGAGGTCCTCAGCTTCGACCTCCTAACCATCAGCCAACTACGCCTTTAATCTAACTTTACACTGCTTTCGCTTTTTGACTAGGTGAGGCTTCCAAGTAAGTCTCCTGTCTAGCGTGAAGTCCAGGTATCTTGGGTTTTCTACCTGCGGGATGGGGGAGCTGTTGAGGTGGACCGGTGGGCAATTTCCTGGACGGAGAGAAAATGTTGTTACGGTGGATTTATCGTTATTCACTTCATATACAGTAGCGGACAATGAAATCCGGACACCTAAGTACTAAGTGCACTAAATGTGAACTTTGCATTAGTGTGGTAGAAGCGCGTGTTATTATATCGAGTTGAAATTTTTTGGTGTTATCCGGAAGGTATTTAGCTTTCATGACCTGAAGGCATTTTTTAAATTATTAAACTTATTGTTTTTAAATATGTCGAAAATGACTGAAAATGTCCAAGGGCCATACTGGTCTTACAAGCGAAAATCTTAAGCTTTCTAGAAATAAGCTCTAACGTTGGATTTATTAAGTCTTCTTTCGAGGATTTCCTACAAAATTTTGAGAAAACCAGAACTCTAAAGCATTTGCCAGGATCAGGAAAGAACAAGAAAGAAAAGCTAACTTCGGGCGGAGCCGAAGTTGATATACCCTTGCAGTTAAAACCGGATATATATCGCAAACATCGGATATAGTTGGCCGATCCTTATGATTACATCATAATAAAACTAATTAACTAAAATAAAAAATCTAAAAAAAGTCCCAAACTTCTATCTTCAAAAATAAGAAAGTTGATATTTCTACCAAGTACCATTTCCGATCGTTCAGTTATATGGCAACTATAAGATATAGGTGGCCGATCCTTATGAAATTTGGCATGTCGTAATGTTTTGCCAAAAATAGCTCTCGTGTCAAATTTTAACTCTCTAACTCTAAAAACACCAAAGTTATACCATTTCCGATCAATCAGTTATATGGCAGCTATAGGATATAGTCGGCCGATCCCGGCCGTTCCGACTTATATACTGCGTGCAGTATAGGGTGTGTGGAAAGAAGGGTGTGTGCAAAGTTTCAAGACGATAGCTTCAAAACTGAGAGACTAGTTCGCGTAGAAACGGACAGACAGACGGACAGACGGACATGCTCATATCAACTCAGGAGGTGATCCTGATCAAGAATATATATACTTTATAGGGTCGGAGATGTCTCCTTCACTGCGTTGCACACTTTTGGACCAAATTATAATACCCTCTGCAAGGGTATGAAAAGAAGACTACCATGAGGATCGAATCCTTTCACGATTAAGCATGACTGATGGTTTCAAATCTGCAAAACATATGTTTTACCAGTCCAAAGGAGTCGAAATAAGCACTCGATCCGTTTGGAGGAACATTGGGGAGGCAGGACTTCATAGCGGCCGAACAGCGAAAAACCCAGTCTTGACCGCTAAAATGCTCCAGAAAAGGCTACAGTGGGTCAAAATGCACAAATTTTGGACTGTACGTGAATGGCGGAACGTCATTTTTCTAAAAACGTCGTCTAACGACACCAAAATAATCCATTTGGCTTACAATAGTATGAGCTACATGCGCCCCAAATGCGACAAACGTTTCAAAACTAATTGCTTACGGCGAACGGTCAGGCATGGAGCAGGCCGAATGGTCCGGGGATGCTTTTTTTACTATGGCTTTGGTGATCTGGCTTTAATTGATGGAACTGTGAATGCCGAAAAGTTCCAAGGTGTTCTGAATCGTCACCTTCTACATTCAATGGAGGAGCATCTTTCTCGTGCCCCAAACATAATCTTTTAGGACGACTCAGGTCCTGCCTATCGTGCAAAAAAAAGGAATATATTTTTTTTTAATTCTTGAAGGATTTGCTTAAACAATAATTAAAAAATAATACTAGAAATTTAAAACTTTAAATTTAGGTAATAAATTATATGCAGAAAAATCGAATATCAACATTAGACTGGCCAGGCAGTAGTCCTGATTTCTATCCGATTCAATATCATTGTCCTATTTTAAAAGTTAAATTACATAAAAACAAACCCAAAAAAAAAAATAATTTAATTTAACAGTGGAAAGTGTCTGTTATAAAGACATAATTAAAAAAAATTACGAACACTTGGTAGATTTTATGCCATCAAGATAAAGGCCATATTAAAAACTCAAGGAAGACCAACTAAATACTAAAGAACCAAAACAAAATTATGTTTGAATACGTTAAATACTAAGCTATTAAGAAATAATTTTCAAAAATTTTTGTTACCTAGGAAAAGTAAAAAATAAAAAAAAAATTTTTTTGTTTGCCTACATTTTTGTTAATTCCATCAAATATTGAAGTATACGTTTTTTTCCAAATAAAACAAATTGACATTTAAAAGAACACGTTTTGAATTAACATTTATATTAATTTCATCGATTTAAAACAAATTTACTCCATAAAGTAAACGCTGGCTGAAAAAAAACTAAACAAGAAAGGAAAGCTAACTTCGGGCGGAGCCGAAGTTGATATACCCTTGCAGTTAAAACCGGGTATACATCGCAAACATCGGATATAGTTGGCCGATCCTTATGAAAATATGATAATATAACCAAATTTATTATAATATAAAATCTAAAAAAAGCTAAAAGTTCCAGCTTTCTATCTTCAAAAACACGAAAGTTGGGTCATTTCCGATCGTTCAGTCATATGGAAGCTATAGGATATAGTCGGCCGATCCTTATGAAATTTAGTAGTTTGGATCAACTGACCACAAATAGAATCTGTACTAAATTCCAGCTTTCTATCTTCGAAAACACGAATGTTGGGTCATTTCCGATCGTTCAGTTATATGGCAGCTATAGGATATAGTCGGCCGATCCTTATGAGAATATGATAATATAACCCAATTTATTATAATTAAAATCTAAAAAAAAGTCCCAAACTTCTATTTTCAAAAATACCAAAGTTGGTATTTCTACCAAAAATCATTTCTGATCGTTCAGTTATATGGCAGCTTTAAGATATGGTCAGCCGATCGTTATAAAACTTGGTAGGTCGGTTTAACTGACTAAAAATATAATCTGTACCAAGTTCCAGCTTTCTATCTTCAAAAACACGAAAGTTGGGTCATTTCCGATCGTTCAGTTATATGGAAGATATAGGATACAGTCGGACGATCCTTATGAAATTTAGTAGTTTGGATCAACTGACCACAAATAGAATCTGTACTAAATTCAAGCTCTCTATCTTCAAAAACACAAATGTTGGGACATTTCCGATCGTTTAGTTATATGGCAGCTATAGGATATAGTCGGCCGATCCTTGTGAAATTTGGCATGTCGTAATGTTTTGCCAAAAATTAAAACACCAAAGTTATACCATTGCCGATCAATCAGTTATATGGCAGATATAGGATATATTCGGCCGATCCGACTTATATACTGCGTGCAAAGGAAAGAAGGGTGTGTGCAAAGTTTCAAGTCGATAGCTTTAAAACTGAGAGACTAGTTCGCAAAGAAACAGACAGACAGACAGACGGACATGCTCATATCAACTCAGGAGGTGCTCCTCATCAAGAATATGTATACTTTATAGGGTCGGAGATGTCTTCTTCACTGCGTTGCACACTTTTGGACAAAATTATAATACCCTCTGCAAGGGTATAATAATACTTACTGCGTATAATATTCGGCTAACTAGAAGCGTCACCGTTGACTTTTTTTCCGCTATATATCTTTCTGCATCTTCCTTGCTTCTTACATCTATACCATTAATACGAAGTATCTGGTCACCCTTTCGAAGTCGTCCATCTCGATGGGCAATACTATCTGATTTTATACCACAGATAAATACATCTTCAAAAATATCTGATTCTGTGGAAAAAAAATCGTCCTTTTCCTGATTAATGTTAGACGATGAAAAGCCTGTGGAACAAACATGTAGTCCTATTTGTCCCGAAGATGCAACATCCATTGGCTTATTGAGAGTTATTTCCTGTAAAATTAACAGCAAATTAAAATATTTTTTTTAATTGTGTTTTATTTTCTAACATAAATTACATGTATATACCTTATAAAAATGTATCTCATTTATATCTGATATAAGGTAAGTTTTACCCGATATAATTCCTAACAAGAAAGTGAAGCTAAAACCGGATATATGTATATCGCTAAAATGGGATATACCTAGTTGGCCGATCAGTATGAGAATATCATAATATAACCAATTTATTACAAGTATTTTTTTTGTTATTACAAAATATAAAAAAAGTCCCAAACTTCTATCTTCAAGAACAACAAAGTTGGTATTTTTACCATTTATCAAATACCATTTCCAATCTTTCAGATATATGGCAGCTATAAAATATAGTAGGCCTTTCGTTATGAAATTTGGTAGGTGGGATCAACTGACCACAAATATAATCTGTACGATTTCCAAGTTTCTATCTTCAAAAACACGAAAGTTGTGTCATTTCCGATTGTTCAGTTGTATGACAGCTATAGGTTATATTCGTCCGATCTTTATGAAATTTGTTATGTCGTATTAATTTGCCTAAACATTTTCCCAATAACCACTATAGGTTATATGGCAGCTACAGGATATAGTTGGCGGATCCTGTTCCGACTTATATACTGCGAGCAGAAGAAAGAAGGGTGTTTCAGAAGGGTGCAAAGTTTCCAGTCGTTAGCTTTAAAACTGAGAGACTAGTTAGCTTAGAAACAGGCAAACACACGGACAGACGGACATGCTGATATCAGCTTAGGAGATGATCCTGATCAAGAATATACATATATACTTTATAGGTTCGGAGATGTCCCCTTCAAGGCGTTGCACACTTTTGAAAAAAATTATAATACCTTCTGCAAGGGTATAAAAACAATGATAAACTATTTGGTTTATCTCTTTTTTACTCCTTTCAGGATTTCAGACAAACTCTTCCCGTTGTTCCACGTTCAACGTACGCTTATTAAATTAATGATTGCGACTGGGATTCACTCGCCAAAATTTTCTCTAAACAACTGGAAATTTATTTATTAACCAAAATAAATTAAGAACGAATAAAAAACTTGCCCTTCTAGAAAACAAAAAGGGGCAAAACAACGTTTGTTAGGGTTGCTAGTAGATATATAGAGATAAGGCATGTGTATGCCTCAATAGACAGACAGAATAGGCATGCAACTCAGTTGTATCATACTCGGGAGGGGATCCTGATGCAGAATATATATATACTTTGTAAGTGGTCCATTTTCTCATATTGTGCAGGCAATTGCTGTGCTTTTGTATGCACTGCAGCCAATAATTGCTCTCTTCGACTTGTGTAAACAGTTTTGTAAACATTTTTTTTAAACACTTGTAAACAGTTTTTTTACTCAGAACAGTTTCACACTATGCCACTGTTAACATTTCAACTGCTAAAGAAACGGCTGGCAAAGTATGAGAGTCCACCAAAAGGATTTGATGAACTTTGGGCCAGGATGCAAGCGGAATGGAAAATTATTCCAAATGAAATGTTGCAGAAATTGGTCGAGAGTATGCCCAAACGTATTAAAATGGTAATTAAGGCAAAGGGTCTTTGGACCAAATATTAAAATTTGAATAAAAACTAAAAAAAAGCCAAAACGTGCATAAGTGGATACATTGACTTTTTTCAAATAAAAAAAAAATACACATATAAGCAACTTATTATTTAAATATTAGTTCCTTTTATATCTAGTAGATATTAATAAAGATTACTAGAAAAAAAAAAATTAAAGAGATTTATTCATTTTTACGGATTTTACAACAGCTTGAAGTCAGAAGTGACAAACATGTATCCACATGTGCTCGCCACTGTATGTATATGCGAATGTCTTGTAATTTACATGTTGTGAACCACACTTGCTTTGGTGGATTCGGTGCGTTTGGAGTGTATTAATTCTTGTGTCAAGATGGGTCGCGATCACAACAAAAAATTGCAATTTTTTTCAAAATAATGCAGAAGACAATAAGTGTAAGTTTACTATGTGAAGTTAGCAGGCTCTTACGTAACAAATTTTAAGCGCCATTTAATTGCAAAAAATGCTGAAATTTATGATTTTGAGATGGACGACGACAAACCGCAACAAAATAGCAACAATCGTGTCTTCAATTCTAAAGATTGTGACCACCGATGGAAAGCTTTTTTTTTTCTGGATAGCGAAGGGTTTCAACAAATATTGAACCCAATTTATAACGCGCTTTCGATGAATCCCATAACTTCTCGAAATGTTATGGAATATGTACATAACTGCCAGAGAGCAGGCTTAATGAAAATATGAAAGCGCTTGTAAAGGAAAAGCTTGTGTCCTTGAAAATAGATGTTGCTACTAGAATGGGCGTGAATTTACAAATTATACATATTAGTATGTCTAAAGCTGAGATCGTCTTAGGCATGATACAGCTTCGTCATTCGCACACTGGAAAGTACATCCAAGAAAAAATTATGGAGATCATAAATGACTATGGAATAACAGGTAAGTATTCAGGTAAAATCTTAATTGCAAAATATGTTTTAAATGACTTTTACTGAGAACCTAAAACCAAAACCACAGCATTTTACATCATATATGGAAAAAAATATGATTAAAGCCATTCAAATTTTAAATGATGGTTCGAAGAGTCTTTTTGACGATAATGCACCCGATAACATTAACGAGGAAGAAGTGATGGAAAAACTCGATTCCATACAGCTGGCGAATATTCACCTTGTAAGGTGTGCTGCGCACTCGCTTCAACTGTGCGTATTCGACATCAAAAAGCTAGATGATATCAGCCAAAAAGTTTTATCATGTCGCAAAATTTGTAAATTATCGCGAACAGAAACGAATAGGTAAGTGAAACCTTAAGATTTTTTAATATTATTTTAAATGTTTAAAAATATTCAACCTAAGCATCCGTTGGTTGAACGAGGGCAAAAAAACGTGCCATGTCTCGATGTTGTTACGAGATTGAACTCTACATATTCAATTATTTTAAAATTGTTAGAATTAAAAAGAGTTCCTTGCTGTACTTGCTTAAAAGAGTTGATGCGCACTGGGATTGGATGGAAGTATATATTGATGCGTTCAAAAACACATACAAAGCGACCTTAAAGTTGCAAAATACAAAACTAGTATATAGCGATTTTTTCATAATATAGATGGAGCTTAGGTTATACATTGTTGTGATAGATGAAAAAATCGATTTTTTTTATTGCATATTTTTTAAGTATATACTGTCGAGAATACTCTATTCATAACGATCGGAGCATTAGAACCGAAGTTTTAGCTATTTATAGCGCACTACCTGCACATAAAACTTGAAACTTTAAACGCGATTATCTCAGAATCTTGTTTTTTCGAAATTATCTTCGCGGTAGACACGATTACTAAAAAACTATTAATCCGATCAACACCAAATTTTGACCACTTATTTATTATGATAATAGCTAGTCCGTGAACGAAGAATTTTTAAATTTTTTTGATATGCGATATGATGTCCACCGCAAGACACCATCGAAAAAAGACGATCTTAGAATTCGGCTATAACATTTTTATTATTTAATATTTTTTTATGAAAAAATGTAAATAAGTACCCAGAAAAATGTACTAAACAGTCAGTTAAACATTTTTAATAAATATTTTCTATAATGTCAAAAAAAATCGATAAAATTTCAGTTTTTGGCGCGGTACAACTGTATATAACCCCTTAAACTAAAGTGCGAGAAAATCCAAAATTATATTAAAAAAAAATTACTAGGACAGATCAGAATTCGAGAATGTAAGTTGCTTGAAAATGATGCAATGTTAGCTGCAATCCACATTGATCCACACGTTAATTGCATCCTAAATGACCAGCAAAAATTCTTAGCAAAGCTAAATCTAAAACAAAATGGCACACCGTTTATTGGAGCTAAAGCAAGTAAGGCTACGTGCGTTTGAAGTTTAGGTCCTGTTTTATTGTTGTTAATTGTTATTAAATGTTTTTAAAAAGTTTATTGTCCTTGTCAAAAAGTATATTGTCCTTACACGTAGTAAGGCTACGTGTGTTTGAAGTTAATTTTTTTTTTGCTTTTTTTAATGGTACCGTAAAAAAAGGAAAACAGATCGTTTAGTTATATGGCAGATGTAGAATATAGACTGCCGATCTTTATGAAATTTTGTAGGTCGGATCAATTGGCAAAAAAATAGAATCTGTAGAAAGTTCAAACTTAAGTTATCAGGCCTGCTCTGGTTTTCACTTTCGGTTTTCGTTTTCGTCTTGAAAACAAAAACGAAAAAATTGGTGCTCCCGTTTTCACTTTCACAAGATTTTTTTGAATTCCAAAACGAGAAAATTTGTCTTGCCTAAATGAAAATAAATGCTTTTTTCTATATTAAATCGGAAATTATTTGCAAAAGGAAAAAGGTTTATTATTGGTTTATTGTCGTTCTTTTAAGACCTCTAGAAGATCAATTAGGCTTGTAATTATTTTTAAAACGAGTAATTTCTGACCCCACCTCAAATTTGGATATAAAATTTTGCCGTTGGCAACAACGTTTTGGTGAGCGACCGATAAGTCCGATAAGTGTTGAAAACACCGGAATGAAATGAAAATTAAATCCATTGAAAATGTTGCATCCCCTTAACTTGGCTTTTCTCCTTAAATCTTTTGGCTTCGAAAGATGCAATTGAAAATAAAAAAGGAATTTTTTCGCGTTGTTTGCTGCTGAACAAACCTCATATCAGCCCTTTCGGCGGCAAGAAATGATGAGAAATTAAACTTTTCGATAGCAAAACGATAACTAAAAACTTGTGAAAACCGGAGCACCTAAAAACGAAAATCTCGGTTTTGGTCCCAAAACGAAAACCGAAAGTGAAAACCGGAGCATGCCTGTATATTTTTAAAAACACGACAGTTGGGTCATTGCAAATGATTCAGATATATACAAAGCATTCGTTTAAGGTGTATCTATAAAAGTTTTTATTTTGATTGAACTATTTTTTAATATAAGGTAAGTTGGGTAAAAATATGATGTTTCTATCCTACCTCAATATCAATTTCTGGTTCCAGGCATTGTTCAAATAAATTGTGTTCTTGTTCAATTAAATGATCAGTTATGGTTCGTTCTAAATCACCTTTTGATGAAGTATCGTTATCATACGTTTGTGTTTCTTTAGAAGCAAAAAAAACCGAGGGACAAACTGAAGTTTCGTTAATGCTCAAATCACGGAAAGTTAAAATAATTTGCTGTTTTTTCTTTTCTTCTTGGGCACGCTCAGCGTCCATAATTGGATTTAAATTGACATTTTTAGAGGCACAGGTTATAGATGAAGATTCAGTTGGAGATCTACTTATGAAGTTTGTATTCACATTTTGACGTTCCTCAGCTGGTAATATTTTTAGAATATTTTCAGCTCCTGATAAATTAACATTTTTTTCTAAGGCATTATTCTTTTGCCGGCATATTTCAACCACAATGGTTTCTTTAGCCTGAAGGAACATTTGAACCGCTTCACATCTTGATAAATTACTAATATCATATCCATTTATCTGAAAGTGGAATATTTTGATTTTTATTATTTGTGAGAAATCATACTTCTTTACGCTTTACGTTATTTTTTTCAGAAAATACCTTTAGGACAACATACTCGTAATCCAAGACGTCAAAAGTACTGGTCATATTGCTCAATGTTTAACTAACTTCATATTGTAATTGTATACACAATTTTTACCAGTGTTACCAGAAATAGCACGTTGAAAGATTCTTACCATTGTGCCTGCAACGATAAAAAATACTTTCCAGCGCACCTAAAAATACAATAATATATGTCCGGCAAAACAGCGTCGCTCAGTTAGCGTCGAAACGGAACGGTGAAATTGGAAACAGAAACGAACTTTTTGTTTTTCAATTATTTCAGTATTTAGCGAATAATTTTAAATTAATTACCACTACAATTATAAAGAATAAACTATTGTTTTTTCTTACTTTGAGCAGGTTAAAAAATGGGCTTCAAAAATTGCCCTAATGGTGCTTTGAGCCTTATCTCAGAAACAAGAGGATGCGCCAACAAGCACGATACACAAGGTCATTATTTTGAAAATATAGCATAGTACTGAGTTGACGAAAATCCGCTGTCCAACGAGTGACAGCTGTCAAACTCCATATAAAAAAAACGGTGTAAAAAAGAAAAGAAGAAGAAATTTTTGCCTTCTAGATTTTGCGGGTACTGAGTTGACGAAAATTTTTGTTATCGATTTTAATCGTGTTGCCGGATCAAAAAAAATAAACAGCTGCTCTCGGGGTGTTAAAATAAATATTTGAATTTATTTTTATAGGTGTGACATGGAGGGTCAATTGACCAAACAAAAAAATAGTCGGCCCGAAAAATTTTCGACGCGCCAGGACAAATTAAAGTTAATTTCTGCGGTCAAGACGAAGCCCATAATATGGGATTTGACCCACAAGAGGCATTTTAATGCCATAAAATGGCATTGAAATGATTTGTGATTGATTTGGATTTTGATGTTGACCCAGTTTTCTATTTCTTAATCATCTCCTTAGCGGCGAAATACATAAACAAAACACCAACATCCAATCGTTTTGAATTCATTTTTGCTTATTTGTTTTTTGTTTACAAACAACAGCTGTTCAGTATTACCTTATTTCTTCATTGTTTTGGTCAAACTACCTCGGCAGCCGAATAAAGTGCAAAATCGCTATCAGAATTTCAACAGCGGATTTTCGTCAACTCAATACTATGCTTATTCCCAAAAAATTTCATTCAAATCGTTCCCTACGTTTTTGAGAAAATCAAATAAAAATTTGTGAGCCCGGCTAACAGCCCATACAAAAATTACCCCAAAAAATTGTTTTTTTTGAAATTGGGAAGCTTATTTCATACAAAATATAATATTATTTTCTTTCAAATCGCTCCATACGAGAAATCAAGTACGAAAAATGACTGAACATGATTTATGTACCAATACCTGCCATTAAATCCTAGTACTGAGTTGACGAAAATCCGCTAGCGAAATCGCACTTTATTCAGCTACCGAGCTAGTGTGACCAAAAAAATTAAGGAAAAGGGTAATACTGAACAGCTGTTGTTTGTAAACAAAAAACCAATAAGCAAATATTCAAATCAATTGGATTTTGGTGTTTTGTTGATGTATCTCGCCGCTAAGGAGCTGCGTAAGCAAAAGAAAACTGGTCGTCGCGCCAAAACAAACAATTACTTGCTTATGAGAAACGTAAACGGAAGATTTGAAAGGGATGTAAGTACTCGTTTTTAATTATGCTAAAAACAAGTTTTAAAAACATATTAATATTAAAACATGTCTTTGATATAATTTGCAGTTCGACAATATGGTAAAGACGCCAACAGTTTTCTTTGAAAACTTTCATATGTCGGTCAGCAACTTTGAGGATTTGTTCCTCAGAAATTTCCGTCTGGATGCAATACCACTGGAAGCAAAATTGGCCCTTACCCTTGAGTAAGAATGGTACAGTCGGTGTATTCATAATTTAACGTTTCATATTCTAGGTACCTCGCTTGCGGAACCTTTCAACGTCATGTGGCCTCTTGCTACCACATAAGTAAGCAACATGTGGGTGTTACAATTCCAGAAGTTTGCGATGCTATATGTGTGGCGTTGTCTGGTGAAATCGAGGCATGGGATGTAGAAGCAATGAAAAGAAGAGCTCAGGAGTTTCAAGGACTATGGCAATTTCCAAATTGTATTGGGGCTATAGATGGCAAGCATGTTGCCATAAAAGCTCCACCTCATTGTGGTAGTGCTTTTTATAATTATAAGGTGAGAAAAATTCCTTCCTAAGCTGACATAATAGTAATAAACTGTGCATTTACAGGGCTTTCATTCAATAATATTATTAGCAATATGCGACGCATCCTGCAGATTTACGTTTATAGACGTTGGTGCATATAAAAGCGAAGGCGACATGAAGGCATTCTCAAAGTCTTGGATTGGAAGGGAGCTACTTGAGGGTGGCATGGAGTTTCCTGAAGACAACATGCTCGGTGGAGTTCGGACTCCGTATTTCTTGGTTGCAGATGATGCTTTTCTTGGTTGCTTGATGCTTTTTGTAAGCTCTGGATTTCCTGTTCTTAAGACGAGAAAGGTGTTTATTATACCAAGGTGGTTTTGTAGACAGTGATACTGGGACTTCCGGAACAAATTTGTTCAAGGCCTTATGAATTATTTCGTAAAACGAATCCGTAGCTGCTTCAATTGTGTTTATAGATGAAAGAACATTCCAATCGATTTCAGCTAAATGATTCCGAAGGGCGATAAAATCAGTCTTTCTGAAGCATTTGAAACGAGGTTTAACATTAAAGCAAGCTTCATTGTGAGGCACATCAATTAAAACCGATGCTAATAGTGTAGGATGGTGAAAGTCTTCAGGAAGCGATAGCGGCGGGGAACGAATGACTCACAGAGGATGACACATTGGAAAAAATAAGGTCCAAAAATCTGCCATGAGTGTTATGAATTGGATTAATTTGGAGCAGGGCAAGATCGGTTAAGCCATCGATAAAGTCGTCATGACAACTGGAAAGCAGGGAATTGTCTATCTCAGACGGGATCCAGAATATGTTGGGAAGGTTGAAATCTCCCATGATTAGGTTTAAATCACGGTCCTTGACCAACGAAAAAACAGACCTAATGGCATCAAGATGGTGAAAGTATACAATATCTTCAGCCATGGGAGGAATATAGGAACAGATCAGGAAAATATGAGACGAGCCTGTTAAAATTTTCACCGCAATGAACTCAATTCCGAACTCATTAAGGAAAGGAATAAGTTCAGCAGGGTACTTATTACTAATAGCAATGAGGACACCACCTGCAAAAGTTGGACGATCAAATCGAAACACTATGAATTTGGAAACAAGAATTTCATAATCGGAGACAGAGGAGTTAAGCCAAGTTTCAGTAAGCACGATAGGATCAAAATCAAAAGAAGCACTCTTTGTAAAAAATTGGCTCAGCTTACCCAGAATACTTCTAACGTTTTGATAGCAGCAGGAAAATACTATGTTATTTAGTTTTTTGAAGCAGTTTCTGCAGGACTAGGATTCTGAGCGTCTTTTCTAGGAATTCATGAATGATACTGTGCTCAGGCAAAGCTATAGGATCAAGTGCTTTTTCAAGGTAGGAATCAGGTAGCACTATTTTAAAAGAAGAAATAGAACGCTTATGCTTAAAGTTAAACTTAAATACAGCTATTTTATCAGGAGCTACCTTAAGATGGTTTAACAGGTGACTCCTGACATCATCAATAGTAGCATCCGGCATAAGCCGAGAGACAAATATGGCCTTACGAGGAGCAACCGCCCTCAGCGTTAGTCCAGAAGATCTAACTTTAGGCGCCACACCAATCAGAGGCCTGGGGGACATCACGGCAAGAGCAGAGGGTAGGTTGTCCAACGCTGGGGGTTGTCCAACGATGTCCAACGATGGCGGCTCCAAGATGGTAGGAGGCTCGAGGTTTGTACTCGGTACGCTGATCGCTTCTTGCACTGGATAAATATTACACTGCTCTGAAGGAAGGCTCATCAAGTCCCATGGTACTGGAACAGCATAAGTAGCCAGACAAGTAGGCGACGGTAAAATGTTTGGTGTTGAAAATTCATCGACTTGTACAGCATGGGATGTAGGGGTATTCAGTAATTTAGCAGTCAGCAGGTTGTTGTTCGGAATTTTTCGTCTGGGGGATTCGCTTAACAACTTTAGCTTAAGGAATTGAGTTTCAAGAGCGAGGAATTGCTCATTAAGGGCCGAGAATTGCTTGCGGACATCTAGGAAACCATTTCTCGTCTGTTTCATAAAAGTCCGCATCTCTGACTTAATTTCTCTACAAGCGATGCAAGACCATGTCAGGCCAATTTTCTTGTTGATAAGGTCACTTATCCGTCCATTGTGTCCTCCTTCAGCACATTTAATATGTGAGCAGTTATTGCAGAGCGAACAAGACAGGTATGAGTCACCCGTGATGGTTCCACCAAATTCACATTTTTTTGCTGTGCAAGTAAGACTCATTTTTGACTTCTTTTTTGACGGAATGCAGACCACTGTAATAGCGTGTAAAGAATTTAGGCTCTCTGAAGCACTCTGTAGCCGAGAGTGGACGATCAGATCGGATGTAAGAGACAACGTTACAAAAGAGATGTGCAACGAAGGTTTGGCGTCGAGAACAACAACAAACTCCACAGTAACTATGATGAAACGGGTAACGTCCAGAGAGTTCAGCTCGGAGAGATTTATGTTGGAGAATAAAGTTAAAGAGCAGCAGAGATAACTTTAAACGATTAAATGTATAAATTGGAAATAAATAGTTCAATGAACTTATTAAGTCGAATTTATTTATGGAGATTAATCGTTATATTTCCACTTGTCGCGGAAGGAGAAAGCTTGAGTTCAAGATTAAAATAATTGCAAACTGGCAAGAGCGATCGAAGAAACACGTCCAGGTACGGCAAGTGAATATACAGGAATGACGCTGCTGTGCAACGCACTTTACTATGCCATCCTGACAGAGCCCAAAAAATTATTTGTGCAGCTTGTGTGCTGCATAATTATTGTATGCGAACCAACCGGGCTAACTACGAGATGCCTGTGATTTCTGTGGAGACTACCGATTCAGATATAAACCGTGGGCGGCCTCGCGAATATCCAAAATTTGTGCGAAATAATATAAAAAATTATGTTATGGATATGGGATCTGTGCAATGGCAAGACGATTATGCAGTCATTTTAAATAATTAAGTAAAAGAAATTAAGAAATGTAGAAATTTATTAAGATATTGTTTAAGATAATATAAGATAATACATTAAAAAATTTATTTATAGTATTTTGCTTTTTGTTTCATATCCAACATATATTTGGTTACATGCTGTTCCGCTTCATCTTTCAGTTCTTGCGGCAGCTTTTTATTATTTCAACAGCCTCCCAGGCATTATTTAAACCAATTATTTAAGTGCCCCTTGTGGGTCAAATCCCATATTATGGGCTTCGCCCTGAACGCACTAATTAATTTCAATTTATCCTCGCGCGCTGAAAATTTTTCGGGCCGACTATTTTTTCCTTTCATCATTTTTCCCTCCATGTTTTAGCTATCGAAATAAATAAAATGAATTATTTCAACACCCCAAAATCAGCTGTTTATTTTTTTTGATCCGGCAACGCCATTCAATTCGATAGCTAAAATTTTCGTCAACACAGTACCCGAAAAATCTAGGAGACGAAAGTTTCTTCTTCTTCCTTTTTTTACACCATTTTTTTTATATGGAGTTTGACAGCTGTCACATTTTTGACTGCGGATTTTCGTCAACTCAGTACTAGGCTTAACAGCATCACATATTTCTGCGCTGCCTTACACGGCAGCCTCCATTATGAATTTTGAATGCCCACCCTAGTTTTTTACAGAGCATGCGCCATTATGCACGGTAAACTACGAGAAAGCTAATTTTTAGCCCAATCGAATGGTACCATTCCCATCCAAATCGCATCATAGATTTGAGAAATCAAGTCCCGAAAATTTCTGACCCTGATTCATTAATACATCAATACAATCAGTATCACGTTTTTTGACGCTGCCCAACACGACAGCCGCCATTATGAATGTTTATCTTTTTTACAGAGGATGCGTCATTATGCATGGTATACCACAAGAAAGATTGAAATCGCTCTCACAGATCTGGAGCAATCAAGTCCCCAAAATGTCTGACCCTGATTCACTAATACTGGCCATTATCATGATGTCGTGTTTTGACGCTGCCCAACACGGCAGACGTAATTTTTAATGTTAACATATTTTTTTTTACAGAGGAGGCGTCATTATGCACGGTATACTCGGTATACAACGAGAAAGCTAATTTTTAGCTGAATTCAATGGTACCATTCCCATCGAAATCACTCCGACAGCAAGGGAAGCGTCAAAAGCAAGGAAGGCATCATTGGAGATAATGTATAGTATTCCACATTACCAATTCTGTAAGTATTTATTTAATAAATATAGTATGTATAATAATTAAATAATAATTAAATGAATCCATTTTTTTTAGCCTTTTTTTTTGTGAAAGCCGGTTTTAATATCTTGGCTTTGATGTGAGCCGAGATATTAATCTCTAAAGATCAGGGGTAAGCCGAGTGACAAATATATGTCACCTGTAACACCTGTACATATTTTGGTGTCGCAGGTACGAAAACTGTTGCATCTGTTGGTACCGGTGGTCCTGTGGATTACCCTGTTGGGTGACTCTGGCGGGGGTTTCATTCAGTAGGACCCGTGGTATCACTTGAAGGGATGCCACGGAGGACATATCGGACAATTACTCATATTCACAGAAAAATTCGGACGGGGAATGGTACGTAGATCTAGCCCTTAGGGTGGCCAGAGATATGATCGGCTGCGTTGATGTTGCCTGAAGAGTGGATTTCTTACGGATAGGAGACTCATTTTGTAGCTGAAGGGCGCTAAACTAAGTTTCAAGCGCGCAGACCTGGTCATTGATTTTTCGAAAACCTTTGATCAACTCTTTAAATCCGTTCTAATCCGACAGCACGACAATTATGGCAACAACAATTTTTGGTCCTTTTGGTCAAAAGTGTGCAACGCGGTGAAGGAGACATCTTCGACCCTATAAAGTATATATATTTTTCAAGCATCTCCGTCTGTCTGTTTCTACGCATACTAGTCTCTCAGGTTTAAAGCTTTCGACTTTGAACACATCCTTCTTTGCTTTGCACGCAGTATACAAGGGATCGGACGGGATCGGCCGACTATATACTATAGCTGCCATATAATTGATTGATTGAAAATGGTACAACTTTAATGTTTTTAGAGTTAGAGAGTTCGCATACTATAGTATAGTCGCATATAGTACTTTCGGCAAAATAATACGACCCACCAAATTTCATGAGGGTCGGCCGGGTATATCCTGCCGACTATAGCTGTCATATAACTGAACGATCGGAACTGGTATTTGGTAAAAATACCAACTGTGGTATTTTTGAAGATGGAAGCTTGGGACTTTTTTTCTTGGGAAAACTTGGGAACTTTCCAGTCCAAGCCTGGTGTA